TTAAATTATTTATTATTTTAATTTTATAATCTAATTATTATACTTTTATTTTTTATTTAAGCTTATTTATTTACTTTAGTGCTATTGCATATATAGCTTGGCTATTTATTCAACTTGGAATTCGCATCTACATCGTCTCATTTTTTGCCTCCAATATCTTCCTTGCGATACATGGTTTGTTTCATCTCGTACACCAATAATCCTCTCTAGCACCCTACAGTACCGCATTCAACACTTGTTCCTCAACTACCCTGCTGTATTCTCCCAAGGGAAACTCGGGCTATTGGTGTCACAAAATGCCCCTCAGCACCTACTACGTAACTAGATAGCCAGTTGAGAGTTTCTAGTTTCTCTGTAGTAGTATCAATTCCTAATTTTCCAAGTACGCTTCTAGTTGAATAAGGTCCGCCAATAACAGTTGTGGATACAAGTATCGACTCGTAGATGTTTCGTTTGTTAAAAAACACATAGATGTTAAGAGCTGACAACAGCTACTTGCACTCCATACGGATTTGAGGAGCCGAGATTGCCCTATAAATCTAAGGGGGCGTATCTGAACTGCTATGACATCTCTCAGCATCTTTGTAGCTCGAGCCGGGCTGTTCTCCCGCTGTACGTTGGCAAAAGTCAAGACAAGCAAATGCTGGCCAGGCATGAGACAACCACCCGATTATGCATACCGAACGCTTAGCAATGTACTAGACAGCTGGACTACGTATATACAAAGGCACATGCCACGACCAAGAAGACGCTACCCGGTACCGCTCGGAATATCTGTCGGGCAACAAGAATTCTTGATAGACCCAATACAACAGCCCCGTCTTCTATTCACTGCTAGACTCGGGCTTGGATTCGTAGCCATTGCCCAGACATTCCATGCTCCGAGCCCGCTGCACATCTTCCTCGCCCATGATCCGCCTCTTCGAGAACGCTTTGTTTGCACCCAAGAGAAACCAAGTATTTAGTATTTTATGTTCAAGCTAAGAAAATAAAAGAATTGTATACCTTCTCACGGTTCTTCATTAGGCTATCAAAGAGAGTCATTTGCATCTCTATTAAAAGCAGCGCTTTGGTCTATGCATTTGAGGCCGTTGTCAATTATATCTCATCCACTATCCGCGATAAGTAGCCCGTCAACGGCTAGTACGTATCGATGTAAGCTAGCCAAATTCCTACTAGCAAGTCACCAGTGCCAGGCGAAACGGCTAGCGGAATACTCCGTACTTTGGCTCGGATATGATTTGTCATTTCGGGTCGACGACAAGAACCAGTTGACCTGTTTCGGCGACAACCCCTCTCCACCGGGTCGGGCTAAATTATGCTCCCCAGTCTACCCCTCGTCTAGTGACACCACATGCAGACAATTTAATTTCTTCCCCCACAAGTCGGCGCCGCCCGCCGCCGCTCAACAGCTCCATCGCGGGACAGCAAACGCCCTCTCTACCCGAGGGCCGTCGCATCAAGCTTCAGTCTGGTCCCAGTTTAAGCTGACCAGACCCTTCTTGCCGTTTCCAATCGTCAAGCAGCACCGAGTCCTGATCAGTTCCGTACGCATCGCCATTCACCATGCCGCCCACCAGTTCGTCCGTCTACCAAAACGCCGACTTGTTCAAGTTCCCCTCGCGCCGGAGCGTTGTCCACAGCACCGACGGCATCGTCGCCTGCACGCAGCCGCTCGCTGCGAAATGCGGCCTCGACGTGCTTCGCGCAGGAGGCAATGCGGCTGTACGTGTGCCGCGTGTTTCTTAAATCTGAAAAAAAAAAAAAAAATCATCCACGTGCTGATATCATTATAGGATGCCGCCGTCGCAGTTGGTACGCCAGTACAACCCGTCATGACATCGTCTAGTCTAACCGCGGAAAACAAATGGCAGCTGCCGGCCTCAACATGACGGAGCCGTGCTCGACAGGCATCGGCGGCGACATGTTCATCCTCTTCTGGGACGCATCCGCCAAGCAGGTCAGGGCCATGAACGGCTCCGGCCGCGCTGCCGCCAAGTCGACCCTCGACGCCGTCCGCAAGCGCCTCAACATCCCCGACGACAGGCCCGATGCCGAGATCCCCAAGACCAGCGCTCTGGCCGTCACTGTGCCCGGCGCAGCGGCCGGATGGGTCGATGCCGTCGAAAGGTTTGGCAGCGGCAACGTCGACTTGAAGCGTGTGCTGGCGCCGGCTATTGAGCTTGGCGAGAAGGGGTTCCCTGTGCACGAGGAGGCCGCACACTATGTAAGAGAAAATAAAACACGGTCATCTAGTTTGCGACAAGACAGTGCTGATGAGAGAATGCAGTGGGGTGCTTCCGAAGCTCGCCTCAGGCAAGCATCGCCCAACTTTGCAGAGATGCTCAAGGTCGACCCCGAAGCCCAGGGAGGCGTCCGCGCCCCTCGCGCCGGCGAGGTCATGAAGAACCCGACCTTGGCCAGGACCTTTCGCACTCTGGCCGAGGAGGGCAAGAAGGGCTTCTATCAGGGCAGAATCGCAGAGGAGCTCGTCGCCGTTGTCCAGAGTCTGGGCGGGCTGTTGGAGCTCGACGATCTCAAGCACCACCTGGACGTGGGCAGCGAGCCCGTCGAGCCCATCTCTCTCAAGTTCCACGGCCAGGGAACCGGCCACGACGGCGGCGTGGAACTCTGGGAGCACCCGCCCAACGGCCAGGGCATCATCGCCCTTATGGCCCTAGGCATCATCCAGGAGCTCGAGAAGCAGGGCAAGATCCCGACCTTTGGGCCGCAAGACTTCAACTCGGCCCCGTACCTGCACGCCATTATTGAAGCCCTGAGGCTAGGCTTCGCAGACGGCAGCTGGTTCGTCACGGACCCCAACGTCACCAAGGTCCCGGCCCGGGGGCTCATCTCGCAGGAATACCTCGCCGAGCGGGCCAAGCTCTTTGATGCCACGAGGGCCGTCCTGACCCACGAGCACGGCAACCCGCCCTTTGCCTCGCCCGCCCTGTCCAGCAGCGACACGGTCTACTTTACCGTCACCGACGCGCAGGGCAACGCCGCGTCCTTCATCAACTCCAACTACGCCGGCTTCGGGACCAGCATCATCCCCAAGGGCTGCGGCTTCACCCTCCAGAACCGCGGGTCCAACTTCTCCCTCAACCCCGACCACCCCAACAAGATGGAGCCCAGAAAGAGGCCGTACCACACAATCATCCCCGGCATGGTGACCAACCTGCAAGACGGCTCGCTGCACTCGTCCTTTGGCGTCATGGGCGGCTTCATGCAGCCCCAGGGCCACGTCCAGGTCCTCCTGGGGCAGCTCGTCGGCCGCCTGAACCCGCAGCAGGCCCTCGACGCCCCGAGGATCTGCATCGGCGGCGGGCTCCCCGAGAGCGGCGAGGCCATTGACTGGACCGTCAATGTCGAGGAAGGCATGCCGGAGGAGACCATCGAGGGGCTCAAGAGGCTCGGCCACAAGGTGAGCGTCGTGACCGGCACCGCGAGGGGCTTGTTTGGACGCGGCCAGATTATCCGCCACGTCGTTGATCCGGTCGACGGGACGCGCATCTGGTCTGCGGGCAGCGACATGAGGGCCGACGGCGCCGCGTATCCCCTGTAGATGAAGCGGCGTGGGAGAGGGCTGAGCCAAAGGTGACGGTTTGATAGAAAATGATGGTTTCAAAAAAAAATTAAGCAGAAGCTAGATTGACGGCCTCGTTTTTATGTAAATGACCTATATTCAGGCATCTCACGGGTGCAAATTCCCCTCTTCACCAGAGTAATCGTACACGGGGTCCCCTCGGACCATCTATATCGTCACAACTTGCCAACTTGCTTTTTTTTTGCTGAAGAACCGTTCCTCGGCCCCCTTCCCACTGGTGTACATTCCATTACGCATCGCCCTCCATGACCAAAACGTCCTTGTCCTCGAAAAACTTGGCCAGCTCGCCGTTGGTGTGCATGGTGCGCAGGATGTCGCAGCCGCCGACAAACTCCTTGTCGACGTAGAGCTGCGGAATGGTCGGCCAGTCCGAGTACTCCTTGATGCCCTCGCGCAGCTCGGCGTCCTCGAGGACGTTGAAGGCGGCAAACTTGTCCGGGTTGACGCCCTGCATGCCGAGGATCTTGATGACGGTGGCGGAGAAGCCGCACTGGGGCGTCTCGGGCGTGCCCTTCATGAAGAGCACCACGGGCGCCGACGCGACCGCCTTGTCGATGGCCGAGCGGGTCGCGTCCGAGAGGAGGCGCGCCTGCGAGGGCGTCAGGGGCGAGATGGGCGCTCGGAAGGAGATGGGCGCGCGGACGGCTGGCCGGGCAGCTCGTCGCAGCAAGCTCTGGCGAGGTGCGGAGGTTAGCCATGGCGGATTGCAGAGGGACGCTGGGTGGGAGTTGCCAGCGGTGGCTCGTGTACGTACAGACGCAACGCTTCGGGAAAACATGCCGACCAAGTGTCTTGACTTGGGAGGGGGTTTTGTTTTGTGACGGGGCGGGCGATGAAGGTGAGGTGCTGTTGAGGGCGGAAAAATGGGCGAAATCTTGCCCGGCTGGCACCTGCCATTGACGAGCGCGAGCGCCGGCGCCGGGCGTTGATGTTGCGATGGGGAGGCAGGAGCTGACCAATCAGTGCTCATGTAATCAGCGCCGGTCCACCGATTGCCGCCTGACAAGTGGTGAGTCTGGGCTCTGGTGGTGCCATTCAGCCGTTGTGCGTTTATCGAGCCATGAGTCGGCGGCGGCGATTCACCATTTTTTTCATTGACTGCCGTGTTGCAACTTTTACTCACGTCAGTCGAGCTGTATATCTAGACACGTACGGAGTCATCTGACTTTACACCCGAGGACTTGCTCATCCGAGGCCACCTCACCGTACATACACACACTTTCCAAACACAACACCATGTTGCCAGCATCAAGAAGTGGCCCCGAGGCGCGGAAGGACACTCCGGCCGGAAACGTGGCCCTCGCACGCAACGACGGCAAAAAGCACCTCCTCCTAGCCGTCTCGGGCTCCGTCGCCACCATCAAAATCGCCAACATCGTCAACGGCCTCGCCTACCACAGCAACCTCTCCATCCGCCTGGTCCTCACCGCCTCGGCGGAGCACTTCCTCAGCGGCCAGTCCGATGAGCAGCCATCCGTGGCCGAGGTGCGGCGCCTGCCCAACGTCGACGGCATCTACACCGATTCCGCCGAGTGGACGAGGCCGTGGACGCGCGGCGCTCCCATCCTGCACATTGAGCTGCGGAGATGGGCCGACCTGCTCATGATTGTGCCCCTGAGTGCAAACACCATGGCCAAGATGGTGGCGGGCATCTGCGACAACCTGCTGCTCAGCGTGGTGAGGGCCTGGGACCATGACGGGTCCATTGACGGCGTCAAGAAGAAGATTGTCGTCGCCGTCGCCATGAACACGGCCATGTGGAGGAACCCGCTGACGGCCAAGCACATCAAGACGCTGGAGGAGGATTGGGGCGGCCACGACGGCTGGGTTGAAGTGCTGAGACCCGTGTCCAAGACGCTGGCTTGTAATGATGTCGGCGAGGGTGCCATGGTCAGTTGGCAGGAGATTGTGTCGGTGGCCGAAGACAGGTTGGGCCTGGAGAACACAGATAGCTTCAGGACATGACGGGGCGAGCAACTACTTACGAGCCGAATGAGTCTATGGAAAACTTGCATCTATACATATGTACACTTATGCATGGTTATGGTTCATTCGTGTAGTGTGCCGAGTGCTAGCACTGGTGGCCAACTGTCTGCCGGCTGTCGGTCCATCTTGACTTTTCTGCCACCTCCTGTTCTCTCGCACATCACCATCCATATTCTACCAGAAACCAACTTTGGACCTCTTTTACCACACCGTCTCCATCACGCCCAATCCACCATGTCGCAACCCCTCGACGACTCCCCCGAAGCAAGCTCCTCCACAGCTGCCGAAAAGGCGATTTCCACTCTGCGCGCCAGACTGCGCAGTGAAGACCCATTCCCTCCTCCATTGCACGCCTCCGCATCCTCGTCCGAGCCGTGCTTGAAGCACAATGACATATACAAGCAGCTGCGAGCTACATTTTCCTCGCTGCCTGGTCCCCAACCAGCACCGCATCACACCCTCGATAGAGGAAACACCATCATGAACAATCTAGCGGGTAGTCATGCCACCCCCCGCAGCACTCCATGGCTCGCAAACTAAGCGCCGCAGAAACATTTGCTCGCTCCGGCGAAGACGCGTACAAGTCGGCCGTGTCCGATATCCAGACCGTCCACGAATCCATCTCGGGCCGAATAGACGCCTTCCACGCCGAGTCTGCATCGGCGCTGAGCGATGCCGCGGCTCTCTACGACAACATCTCGTATCCCCTGTCCAGGACGGTATGCCACTCTGAAAACTTCCCCCGGGGAACCATTGCTCAGCACCTGTCTGTGCTCAAGGACAAGATGGACGCCGCGGAGAAGCAGCTGGCGTCTCTGAACGAAGATTGGATGGCGTGCGTGGACCAAGAAGCAAAGATTATGGCGGTGACGGAGGCCGTCGACGATTCAGACTCGGCCAAGGAGACCGAGGCCCTGGTGCAGGAGATTGATGACATAGTGAGGGACAAGGCTGCTGAACTCGAGCAGATGGAAAAAGTGAGTCGTCTCTTGCTTAGGTTTCGTACTGGCTCTGACGTGCGGCAAAGGAATACCGTGACTTGCTGTGGAAAGAGTCGCAAAAGATGATGCAGGCCATGATGGCGGACTAGATGGCGTTGCGTGCTGGCCCCGTTGAGAGCTAGATGTCATGTTGCTCGAAATGGTAAAGCGCTACCATCATGTGTACGTATTGGACTGAGGCGGCCACATATTATGACGCGCCATGGGAGATGTCACAAAAGATGGTGAAGCTGTAATAGCTACCGGAATCTTGACAGGGATGCAGTCATTGCTGAATTAAGTGCTACTTGAATCGACTCCTTCAGACACGTAGTCATGCCACCAGACGTCTCGCTGACACTTCGCCTACGCATTGAATGAATATCAATCACGGCACAGTGCCAGGGGTAAAATTTTCATCACTGTCATTGCACCAGACATCTACCAATCATGCCATGCCACGTCCGAGCAGCCGGATTCGCCCCAACTCCAACTATGCGAAAATCGAAAACCAAAAAAAAACAAAAAAAAAAAACACACATCATTCCACCATGTTAAACATAAATACCGCTCTTCAATAAAGCAACCTATATCCGTGAATCGCTTCACTCTTTCTTACACCCGTCGAGCCAACGCCGTCGTCTCCTATTTTGGGACGGTGACACGCAACAGACGGCACTACTTACTGCTCCTTCTCGGGAATGACGACACCCCACTCGTGCTGCTCACGGCCGTACATGATGTCGCCGATCCACGTCTTGATCCTGGCCGTCACCTCGCCGGCCGTGCCCTCGGGCCCCATGGGGATGTTGATGTCCTTGCCGCGGTGGTGGATCTGCGAAACAGGGCAGATAAAGTACTAAAAAAAAAGCGTCAGTCATGAAAAATACCAGAGTCTGAATAAGGGGAGAGAAAGTCTCTTCTTACAGCGGTGCCAGCGGCAAAGGATTCCAAAATACGCCCCTCGGCATCGGCCTCGACGAGCTCGTCAATGGTGTACTTGCGCTCCGTCACCTCAATCTCGCCGGCCATGCGCTCGCGCACAACGTCGAGGCAGCTGCGGCGCGTGACGCCATCAAGGATGAGCTTGTCGTCGAGGGGCGCCGTGATAATCTCCTTCTTGCCGTCCTTGCGGACCCAGACAACAAAAAAGTTGGAGGCGCCGGCCTCGGTACACTCGCCCTGGGCGCCGTACAGCCACAGGATCTGGTGGAAGCCGCGGCGGCGGGCGTCCTGGGTGGCCATGAGCGAGGGGCCGTAGTTGGCGCCGACCTTTGCGTAGCCGAAGCCGCCGACCCAGGCGCGCACCATGTCCTCGGGCGAGGTGTGCAGGCGCATGCCGCCGGGGGGCGAGTCCATGCGCGGCATGAAGGTGACGATGATGTAGAGCATGGCCTCGCGCGGCGCCTGCCAGCTGCGACTGGGTGCCGATGAGGGTCGGGCGGATGTAGAGGAAGTGGCCCGGCTGGTCGGCGGGCAGCCAGCGCAGCCGGCGCGGGCCGTCGACGGCCAGCAGCGCGACCAGGAGCTTCTCCAGCTCGGCGGGCTCGAAGAGCGGCAGCGAGATGCGCCCGGCCGACATGTGCATGCGCGCGCAGTTGCGGTCCGGCCGGAAGACGCGCAGCCGGCCGTCGTGGCCGCGGAAGACCTTGAGGCCCTCGAAGCACTCGGTGGCGTAGTGCAGGCACGACGCCGTCGGCATCAGGCTCAGCGGGCCGTAGGGCTTGAGCTCGGGCGCGCCCCAGCCCGTCGAGGCCTTCCACGTCGCCGTCACCATGTGGTCGGTGGCGATGGTCTCGTCGCCCGCGTTGGCCGTGGCCTGGTCCGGCACGGGGCGCGGGGACTTGGTCAGCGAGTAGGTGAGCTTGGAGGCGTCGAGGGGGGCCTTTTGCCCGCCGTCGCCGTTGGCCACGCTGGCCTCCTTGCGCTGGATGGCCGCCGCGGTCAGGTTGACGTCCTGCTGGGGGACGGCAGAGGGGGCCATTTTGCTGCCGATTGTTGGTCTTGTTGTTGTGGTTTGGTGATGGTGATGGTGGTGGTGTTGTTGTTTGTGCTGGGTGGCGGGTGGTGGTGGTGATGTCTCTGGACACTTAAGAAGACCGGTTGCCCTTTTCTCCTTCCTGTCAATGTCTCAGCACGACTCCCGTTTTCAGACGTTTTCTCAATCACTCGCAACCAAGACAAAATAAGGTCACATGAACCAATTCCACTCACGAGGTATGAAGCAGTTTTTGGCCCTGTCGGTGGCTCAAAGAATTGCAATGTTGGCGAGTGTGTAGGGGGAAGGGGGAAGAAAAAAAAAAGAATGGCGGTTTAAAAGGAGAATGAGTCAAGCCGAAAAAGTAAGAAGAAGCCACACTAGTCCCCGTGTATGATTATGTATTAGTGCCGAAGGAACCGGGGTCAACTGGTCCCCATCACGGCGGAGCCGACCAGAAGCAATGTGTGTGGGCGGCTATCAAAGGGCGCCAGCCTTTTTATCCGCCTCTCCCTATGTCTCTCGCCTTTTCCGTTTTGGCTTTTGGATACCCCGTATGTAATTGAATTATTTTATTGTTATTCTTGCCAGTATTTCTTCACGCCGCACCCTTGTCCGCGGCACGCAGTCCCCGTTTCGCCTCAGTCTTCCAGGTGTGGGCGGTGGCCAGTACCTGCTTTCCGTGGCACCTCCATTTCCGGATTGCTGGGGCCAAACCAAGAAACGCCTCTCCAACACCGAGCCCAACTGCGGCAAAAAGACACGGCCTACACGCAGCTGCAGTCGGCACTCGAAAGCCCAACAGGGTAGGGCCGGGTGCGCGTCGGGATCGAGTACGTAACAAGACCAGGCCCCAGACGAGAGAAATCCTACTTAAACAGAGCCGCCCCCGCGGCGCTCGGCAGACCCACCCGTGGCTCGCTCAATCGGGGAACAGAAGTGGCCAGGTGACTCGTGGCCAAAGCCGCAGCGTGGCCAGGCGCCATCCTGGTCCTCCGACGCCTGCCGCTCCTCGACGGGCCCCGCGAGGCCGTCAAACTCGGCTTGCACGCAACCATGGCCAGCATGCCAGTCCTGTTGACCCGTGCTCGTGGTGAGGGGCCCCCTCGGCCCGCGGGGAGCTGCCCAGATTGCACAATTCAATTGAAAAAAGCGAGCTTGCCGTGCTGTACAAAATAAATAATAATGCCTCCATCACCCATCCGTTTCCCTCTCACCCTGTGCACCTGCACCTGCCGCAATCACCCTTCCGCAGCTGTGCGACGCCGGGCCGGGTCAAGCGGTGCGGAACCTCGCCGTGGAGTCGAGGGGAGCAACTATCGAGGCCAGCAAAGCCGACCTCGCCCCACGCGGCTGCGACACATGGGACCAGGGAACGAGACCGGCTGCCGTTGGGCGCGCCTACCCCAACTGCCTGGAATAAAATGCCATAATGCGGAGTCTACGGAGGTGTATCAACGTCATTCTGTCATGCTGGGGCCCCGGACCCCTCTCGCGCGGATTGCCTCTGCGCCCTGTGCTTCCTTGCAATGCTCCAGGATTCAAAGGCGGCGCAATGCTGCCAATTCCATCATCTATACAGAATCCCCAGCTGCTGTAGCCCCCTCCAGTGCCTCGCCCAGTGCAACGGCGCGGGATCCGAAGCGGCATGCCATGGAGGCGGTGTGTATCATTCAGCGCAGCAAGCAATGCCAATTGTCTGCTCGACAAACAGTCTTCCAGAAGGCGCCGAGACCACAAGGGCGCAGCTCGTCACGACGTCTCCATTGGAGGGCCCAAAGCAGGGCGGAATTGCCTCTCTAGAACACCGCCGCGGATAGCCGCACTGCCTTATCTCGATAAAACATGGAACTTGGAATGGCCCACCAAGGTCATGCCCGGTGCCCATTGCTCACCCACCCCCATCATCAATTGCAATCCAAACAAGCTTTACCCCACAGCCAACGCGATGCCGCTTTTAGTCAAATTGGAAAAAGGGAAAACCAGACCTTGTCTCCATTCGTAACCACTTACCTGGAGCACACACTGCTCCTACAGCCAATGCATGCCTACTTACATGCCTATGAGATCACCGTCTTGGGTAACACGAATACGTAGCGGTTGGCCAGTGCAAAATGGCAAGCAGCCGCCGCGTTTCCCTAAAAAAAAAAAATTGCTTTGTAATTGAAGACAGACTCTTGCCAACGTGACCACTATTTTACGACCACGGTTGACGTTGCCATCCAACCCCAGACCATTCATTCCAGGCCTGATGATGCATGTGTGGTGGCCATGGCCACGGCCGAAATCCTCTCTGTTCCACGCAGCCACCGAAAATTCCATGTCCCTTTCCAGCGACTGCCACATCATCACCGCCCAGCCTTGACCATCGACTTGACGTCGCTGGCATTTTTTTCCCCCTTCCGCTATCCGACATGCACAAGTGGCCCTGTTGAATGAAGCCGCCCCCTCCTGTCACCTGCCCTTGCCTTCATGTCTGGCCCCTACGACAAAAACGAGCCATCCAACAAACGCTTGCAGTATCCCATCCGAGTACCACACAACACAAACAAACTCCGATCCAAATGCATGGGTAGCTGCATCATGTGCTAGTGATGCTTGATATCCGCGTGTGTTCTCACCTGCACCCTGCCATACGCAATATGCAGCTCGTCATCGACCACGGCATTCTCACAGCTTGGGGGCTTACGCATTGGTACCGGCGGCACCCCCAGCACCGCTGCGCTCGGCTTCTCTGCCGCGTTGCTCCTCTTCCAATATTTCACGCTGTCTGGCCGCTGCTTCCACTTCCGCCTTGACACCTTTGGCTCGTTGTCTCGCCTCGTAACGATCTCGGCTCTTCATGATGCGTTGCACGATCTCGCCGGCATTGACTTCAGCAAAAGCATGCGGTCCAATTTCCCGGTAGATTCCCATTTGCTTGGGAGCAGTATACGGGTCGTACGTGAGCGGCATAAAGGCGGTCGGGCCGTGGTAGATGGCATCCGGAACGCCCCAAGGAAGTGACTTTAGGTATGACTTTGTCGGTGTGAATGGGGCGCCAAACACGACAGCGTTGATATACTACCGCAAAAGTCAGCACACTAGCAAACATGGGCGAGCACCGCGTCTCCCCCTGTTGGTTATCAGGGCCACAACGAAATGGTGCAGCACATACCTTGCATTGCAAGACGCAAAGACCGCGTTCAAAAATGTTCATAATTGGGTAGTTGACACCCTTCCACTGATTGATCACTTCGTCATCGTGAACTCCGACAACAACAAATGCTGGCTCATAATCTTTGCCGCCGTCGCTCGTTCGATTGCTCTTGGCTTCGTCAGAGTACCAGCCTGACTTGCGCGCCAGTTCCTCTTCCTCGACGCCTACTTTTCGTAGAAACTCAATGTGACCACTGGAAAACAGGTCGAACCCGCCATCTACATAAACAATGCGTTGTCCTGGCCGAGGCCTGGTGCCGGGGAGCAAGTTGTCAAATGTCCCCGTCTCTTCTTCGGTGTCCTCCGCCTTGGCCTGGTTTGAGGCATTCCAGAACCATACCTCAGCGCCGGGGGCCTTTGCAGTCTCATCTGTTGCGTACAGCTTCATGCGCTCCAGCATGGCTTTTCCTTGGGCTTTGCGTTCGTCGGGGCTTCCATATCCCTCTTCACCAACGAGCATCTTTTGTAGAGAATGGATAAAGTGTGTTTTTGTGCACAGCAGCATGCGACCAACGAGATCCGTCGTCGAGATGCCCGGAGAGCGCTTCACAACTTTGAAGCGACCGGCTTGCTTAACAAAGCGGTAACAGTCGTTTCCGTCGCTGTCGGAAGTAATATCATCTCCATGCACGACATATTTGCAGCCGTAGTGTGTGATATAAGGAAGTTCGGTGACGTATGGAGCATGGCCGATTGCCTTGGTGACCCAGCGACAAGCATTCGCGGCTGCTAATCTATGCCACATGTCAGAAAATGATAGTATATGCCTGGAGCTGTGAGCAGAGTCTACGGGTGGCATACCGCTCTTCCAGGGTCATGACCGTTGGTCCCTTGTTGGCCAGAATTTCCTCATCAGAATGCACACCGACGTACAGCTCGTCGCCAAGCTGTCTGGCTTGAACCATGGCTCCGGCGTGGCCTGGCAGAAGCAATTAGCCTATGTAAATGAAGGCATACCCATTAAGACATTGTCTACATACCGTGATGAAAGAAGTCCCAGCAGCCATCAACCCATATGCGGCCGTCAAGCAGCTCAGGGGCAGGGTCTCCTTGCGGCTGCCCCCCCTTGGTAGTCGTGTTCATGGTGGGGTAGTAGTTGGTGGCAGTTGTCAAGAGATAGGAAAGGGGCAGAGAGAGGCCACAAGGAAGACACAGTTGATCGCGTCGGATACGGCTGAGAGATAACTGGGTCCGCAGTTGGAGTCGTGGCCTTTGCGTCTGGAGATATCTAGAAATGTACGGAGTAGTGGATTCTCAATAGCGCAACGTCCATGTCTGGTTAAATTAGGACTGCGAGTTTTCACATGATGCTGAGTTGAGATGATGGCGGGGAAGTGGCGCTGCGCCGATGCTGGTTGGCCAGGGACGAGGGGCACATTCATTGTGAGCGGTGGAGGGAGGCTCCTTTGCTTCCATGTTCTTTCTTTGGATGAACCATCACGAATCAGTCAGATGCATCAATTGATGACGGCATGGTTGATGCGCGACAACAACTTTCTGTGGCTACCCAGTACTTAGGTAAAAAAGAAGAATTGTCGCACAAGCTGTCGGTGTTGGCAGACTAATCTACGTGGACAGAATGCATCTGATCAGTGTCGAGTGATCCAAGGGTGGCCACGTACTAACCAGGTATCTATTAGGTATCTCAGACAAAGCGGGCCCGGTACGCAATCGGCACCTTCGAACTCCCAAAGGGATATCAAAACTCGATTTCGTTTCTTTGTCAGCTGTAGACGTTTGCTCGCACGACAGGCACGGCTGTCTACGTTATTTATGCATCATGGCGGACTCCTACCAGTCATCTCCCAACGAGCAGCAACCCATCGTTTAGCCTGCTCAGGAACCAAAGTGGCTTGACGGTTGGCTGCAAAAGGCCAAACTCTCACCTCCACGTTGCCGATCGATTGGCGCTGGCTTGCACGTGGCCAACTACCCGTCTTCTGTCCTACGCGGCAACGCCGGTCAAGCTTCGAAACATCGCAATATTTGGCATGCGCATCCGCAGCGCCGTGTTTCGCATTGTTCAATACACTCTGCATCGCCCCTCCACAGAGTAGACAGCTGTATCCCGCCAGCCCGAGCATGAAGCTTTCTTCTCTCCCAGTCTTGCTAAGCCTCGCATCACACACCATGGCGACATGGCCTGAAGCAAAAGGCAAGCAGATCCGCTACACGTCGGTTACAGGCTACTTTCTTCAAGATGATCCCAAGACAAATCCAAGCGGATTCGACTACGTACGACGCGCCCCCCCCCTGTCTTGCGCAGTCACTGACTCGGCACTCATGAGTAGGCTCAGCACAACTTTGGGTTGATAGACAGGAAATACCCCACAGACGACAAGTTTGATCCTGAGGGTACCAAGTCGCAATGGCAGCGCTTCGGCAAATGGGCTCACTATCTCAACCATCATTGTGACAAGAGCGAAAATGTCCGCTACAAGGTGGTCTTCTTTGGTCGCCATGGTCAGGGTTACCACAACGTCGCCGAGAGCTACTACGGCACGCCCGCATGGAACGTGAGTATCCCCCCTCCCCTATCAACTCAACTTGCTGCACTTGGCATGCTAATACGTGAATTTTCTGCCTCCCCATAGTGTTACTGGGCTGAATTGGAAGGCAACGGCACCATCACCTGGGCAGATCCGTTGCTGACTCCGGATGGCTTCAAGGAAGCCGAAAAGGCCAATGGCTTCTACGAGACTCTGTACGAGCAGCAAAATATGCCGCATTTCGAATCATACTACAGCTCCCCCTTGAAGCGATGTCTTCAAACCGCCAACACGACGTTCAGCACGTTGAAAATGCCCACAGAGCACCCGTTCGTGCCCACAATCAAGGAGCTCTTTCGCGAAGACATTAGCATTCACACATGCGACCGTCGCTCGACCAAATCTGAGATTGCCAAATTCATGCCAGGATGGAAGTTTGAAGAGGGATTCACGGAAAAGGACGAGCTATGGCAAGCGGACAAAGGAGAGACGTCGGCTCACCAGGTCGCTCGCAGCAAGGCGGTTCTCGACGACGTGTTTACCAACGACGGCTCTACGTGGATCAGTGTCACGAGCCACTCTGGTGAAATCGCCGCGTTGCTCACTGCGTTAAACCATCGCGCCTTTGGCTTGTCCACCGGACAGATTATCCCGGTACTGATCAAGGCTGAGGTGGTGCAGCCTATACCTACGTCGAGTATTGCCGGGTTCACCCCCGAAGCCACGTGCAAACAGCCGCCAGTCACAAGTCTCTCGGACAAGGGTTGCGTGTGTTCCAGCACCGGTTCAATGCCGTCGCCGACATCGTAGCTCGAAATGGTGAACTCTGTGGACAGCCTTTGTTTTGGGTCATCTTGTTGTCAAAAAAAATGATCGGGATTTGGAAGCATGAAGAAGAAGCGGAGACTAATTTCTTTTTGGATTGGGAAGTATTATCGCGTCACGAGATAGAATTCTGCAGGGTCATTTCCTCGGGCCTCGGCGACCTCTTTCGCATTACCATGAAGGCAGAGGCAGGCTCTCGTGACCAAGGCAAATAAACTAGTGAAAATGGCTCGTGTCGAACCCAAAAAAGCCGCATAGTGATGGATGAAACTGCCTGAAGCAAATGAGGCAGCTAAAAATTTGCATCTCCGATTACACTAAGAAGTTTTGTTTGCAAAAGTTTAATCCATGCCCCAGGTATTGTGACGCTATGAAACAGGCCAGGGGCCGGTAGGGAGTGGTGGAACAGACCAGTTGACCGCAGAGTTTATGCGCACAGTGAGACTTGGGACGAGCAATAGAAGTTGGCGAGATGGAGAGCTGGGGAGGTGAATACGAGAAAAGAGCGCAAAAGAGCGAAGCGTATCCGTCAGTCCGGTATCCGTGTATTCGGTGGAGGTGATATTTCATGCGTAGGGGCAGGGCAAATTCGGAATCAGTTGACTGTGGACAGGACAGGGCTGAGAAATGCTAAAATTATGCCAACGTCTTCTGGGCGTCACGTCGGGAAACCCTTGGGCTGTTCAACTATTGACGCCTTGTCTATATGGCCGAATGGGGATGTTGGAATCAATGGAGCGGCTCTCGCGGGCTCTCGGGGTCTCTCGATGCTCTCGATGGCATTTTGATTTGGTTCCGCGTTAAGTGGAAACAACGTAGTCATACTGTAGGCCCAGGCCCAGCGACGGCAGTTGCCGGGCGCCCCCCTGAGTTGTTAAATTTTACCACGGTGATGACGAGTCGCCGTGTCGCGTCTTGTACGGAGCATGTACGGAGTATGCTGGGCGTGTTTGTGACATATTTGCACCTTGCACCACGCGAGGCGAGCCCAGCGTTGGTGCGGCAGCCGCTCCTCTTGCTAAACCTTAAAAACGGTGCGGTCGCGTTGGGGGCCCAAAAAAGAAGAAGCAGACGAAGAAGAAGAAGAGGTAACAATGGCTCTCAGTGCGGCATCTGGTCTTTGCGTGCAAGTCTCTCCCAACGTTTAGCCTTACGAGCACGGAGTACCGACATAGCGGATCAAACCCTGACCAAGACATCGAGACTTGGCAGAGGCACACGTGGCTGAGCAGGCACACAATTTTACTCGGTGCGATATCAAAGACGCTCCGTACCCAGCTCAGCCAATGCCGTTGCTCCATCGAAGCGATGCCCTTGTCCACAGTGTGTGCTTTTGTGGCGCCATCCATGTCTCCATCGTTGGGGAGGGGCGCCACGACCATGCGCCAGACGTCCTGAATCAACTCCCGCGTGTCCATTCATAGCTTCTGCTTTGCCGAACCGCATGGCTGACATATGATATATGATCAAGGTCCCCAGCCAGATCCCGAGCTGGCATCGTCATTCCCTCGCCGGCCGCATTCCACTGCCCGGTTGCCGTTGGCGTTTCCTCGCTCTCTGGAACGGACTATTGGCACCCTTCAACTTTAATCACCATCCGCTTGGACGGTCCTTCACCTAGATTCAAGCCGGCCGAAACTCTAAAATAGCAATACCTCGTCACACGCGCCGCCATGCAGCGAACTACGCCGACGTCGTCGACGACGCCTACTTTCCCTCCCTTTTCCGTCGGCATCTTCACCAACCCCAGCTCCTTCTCAAGACCAACAACGCGCGACGGCAGCATCGATCCGCTTCATCCTCCGCCGCATTCGCCGCCGCCGCCGATTCCTACATCAGGCCCCGTCAAGGAGTCTCGCAAGGCCTCGTTCTCGCGAAAAGCCTCGCTCTCCGGAAGCACGCGTCGCAGAGGCTCCTCTGTCGGCTCGACCGCTGCCTCGAATCCCAATGCCATCGTGACCGACGCCACGGCACCGCCAGCATTGCCCGATTACGCACTGCCCGCCGCCGCCAAGCTTCGAAGCCGTGATAGACGGGACGTGGGGAGTGTCGACGACGGCGTCCAAAGTCCTGTCAGCCCAACCGGCGGTAGCAGTGGTCTCGCGAGCATGAGCAGGACAAATACCGGCGCCGGGAGCTACTTCCCGCCCCCAACCCCCGTCGGGGTTCCATCCTCGTTGAACGGCACAGCAGCCAGTACTTGGCAGCAGAGCGAAGCGAGCATGATACACCAGCAAATCACCGATGTGGCCAACAAGAGGATATCAACCTTGGACTACCTGCGAAAGGCGTACGTACAACAACAAAGAAAAAACGCGGGCGGTTGCCTAATGCCACGGACGGCTACTAACTTCTGACATGGCAGACACGAAGGCCGGGTCTACTGGTTCAACACGTATCTCTTCGAGCGGTCCGACCTGTCACGGATGCAGTGCTTCGATCCGCGAAAGCTCGCCCGCAAGGCGGCAAACTACCTCCTCCTCGGGCTCTCCATCCCGACCATCAACGACCTGTACTCGTCCACGCCGATTGAGTTTCTGCGCTGCCTCAACTCGCTGCTGTCCGAGTTCGACTCGTTCCAGCAGCTGCACGGCGACTCCTCGGCGGCCCTCGCCCGGGCCCGGCTGCCAACCATGTTTCGCCGCCCGGGGGGCAAGTCGCGGCGCTCAACGTCCGCCGCGGAGATGCACCTCGACGACTCGACCGCGTTCCCTCCCCCCGGCGGCGCGGGTGCCGGGAGCGGCGCGCCGTCCGTCATGAACTTTGCCGTCTCGGAGAGCGACCTCCTCCCCGGCGAGGAGTACACCTACCTCCTGACGCCGGCGCTCCCCTTTGAGCCCGACTTTTTCGAGACGTTTGCCACGCTGTGCGACGTCTTGGTCGACTGCTACTCGCGGTTCCTGGCGCTGGTGCCCACGCCGAGGGAGTGCTCTGCGCCGGTCGCCGAGCTCTTCACAAAGGTGGATTCCAAGCTGCGCAAGATTATAGTACAGGGCGTGGTCAAGGAGTTTGAAGACCATAGCAGAGGCCATGTCAAGACGGAAGTGGCAAGTATCGGCAAGGTCGTCCTGGGGGGGTTAATGTGAGAGGGGGTATAATGTGGGGGCACTTGATCGTTTACTCGTATGGAGTTGCATGGCTTGTCTTTTTTTCGTTTTAAATGGGTGCTTGGAGTTGTTTTTCCGCTTCTTCACATTCGAATGGTTGCGCTATGTACGGGGGACACGGACATAATGACTGGGAGGTAATCGGTGCATAATTTTCTCTCTCTTCTTTTTTTACACGAGTACAAAAGCGGCAGTGTTTTTGGCGTCTGGGTAGAGTAGAAAGCTTGCGAATTAGCAGATGTAGTTTGCGTTGATGTATGATATAGAAGAATACTTTAATACATGGACTCGGCTCAACCTGGCTGCAGTGTACCTGGTGATGTGCAGTTGAAAATCAACATGTACACTGGGTGATGGAATTACCCAACGTCAATAGACTACTGGCCGCCGTCTGGGGCTGCCGTCTATACATTCTAGCAATATTTACAATACCGTACAAGTAATACAACGGGCGCAACGTATGCCGGCAATCAGTTGGCAGCGGCCGCGGACTTGGCCTCCTCCTCGGCAATGACCATGTCAATCTCCCTCGCGACCAACCACTCCTTGGCGGCGTCCATGACGCGGTCCAGGGTCTCGCCGCCGTCCAAGACATCGGGCAGGTTGTGGACGTCGAGGCCGGCGCGGTGGTCCGTACACCGGTCCTGGTTGTAGTTGTAGGTGCGGATCTTGTCGCCGCGCGTAATCTGCGCCTGCGCGAGCACGCTGTTCCTCAGGCGGGCGGCCTCGTGCATGCGCAGCTCGGCGCGCTGGCCGGCGATGCGCGAGCGCAGCAGCTTCCACGCGTCTTCGCGGTTGCGCTGCTGCGAGCGGTGGTCCTGCATGGACACGGTCGTCCCCGTCGGCAGGTGCGTCATGCGGATCGCGGACTCGGTCTTGTTGACGTGCTGGCCGCCGGCGCCGCGGGCGCGCATCGTCTCGACCCTGACCTCCTGCGGGTTCACGTAGAAGTCGCTCTCGGGGTCGTCTGCGTCTGCTTCGCCGCCGCCGCCGCTGCTGCCGCCCTCGGGGAACGACGGCAGCACCCACACGGCCACGGCGCTCGTGTGAACCCGCCCCTTGCTCTCGGTGCTGGGGATCCGTTGCACGCGGTGCATGCCCGCCTCGCTGCGGAACAGGTCGTACGCGCCCTGGTCTTGGATCTCGAGGATGGCTTCCTGCACGGGGTTCTCGCCTGCCGACGACGACTGGTCCCCCGCCGCGTCGGCCATTTCGTACTTGAGGACGTTGGCGCGGTAGCCCCGTCGCGCGCACAGCGCCTTGTACATTTTGAACAGCGAGTCGGTAAAGTACCGGCCCTCGAGGCCGCCCGGGCCCGGGCGGAACTCGATCATGCACGGCATGTCGGCGAACGGGTGCTGCGGCGTCAGGCTGGCCGAGAGGTTCTTTTCCAGAGACGCGAGCTTTTCTTCTTCGGCTTGCAGCTCATCGCGCGCAATGGCTGCCAGGTCGGGGTCCTGTTCGTCGTCGGCCATGGCTTGGAGGTCGCGGATGGACGAGTGTGATTGCTGCCATGCCGAGAGGGCAGCGGCAACGCGGTGCAGTTCGCCTGCGCGCCGGGCCTTTTGCGAGTCGAACTGGGCGTTGAGGGATTTCTGCAGGGCCTCGTGTTCGGCGGAGAGGGCTTTGGCGCGCTGGAGGAGGCTGGGTGCCAATGTTGACGGTGTGTCTGGCTGCGGTTAGCGGACGGTTGGCCATGTTTGCTGCTGGGGATTGAGGGCATTTTGAAGTACCATTGGAGGCGAAACGAGGAAATTGCCGTTGGCATGAGCGCCGGAGCACGCGAGTGCAGCTTCGGCAGACCCATGGTGCTGAGAACATGCCGTTGGCGGTGGGTTGTGAGGATGAAGGGTTTGGATGTTGGATCAAGCTGGAAGAAAACTGTCTGGTTGCAGCTGGAGTGGGGACCACCAGGCACAGGCTGTTCGATAATGAAAAAGTGAGCCCGCCGAGCAATTCACGTTCAACAGTCTCGGCACCAACTGGGTTCGGACCACCAAACATTATTCGGGTCTAATCATTTTATCCGCATGCTCTATATATGTACGTCTATTGCTTTATTGTTTCGTGTCTTCATCCCTCTTGCTTGCCCTCCGCGCCCCCATGAGCAACAGGCCACCCAGCACCAGACATGAGCCGCCCCAAATCTGGACGCCGAGATATTTCCCACCATTCACCTCAATCAACTTTCCGGCCAGAGGGGGCCCCGTCAGGGCCGAAACACTGACGATTGAGAAAATCATGCCGATCCTTGTGCCGGCCTTGCTCAGGTCCTTGGTCAGTCCGGCCAGTGTGGACGGGAACATGCCCTGGATGGTGGCGGCAAAGAAGCCGTAGATGCACAGCCAGGCGTAGTCTGCCGGGATGTCACGCACGCCTATCCAGCCAAACATGCACACGGCAGCACAGAATATCGCGGGAATAAAGGTGTTGACGGCGCCAAAGTATCGATCGGCGATGAAGGCCGGGATGAGGCGCCCCGGGATACCGACGGCGTTGATGACGAGGAGCATGGTAAACGAGGTCGACTGGGAGCCGCCCAGGACGTTGAGGGCATAGGCCCGGGCCTGACGCAGTAAGTACATGTGCTCCGTTTGCAAAGATCCGGTCCCGCAGGCTGACTTACGTAGTAGTAGGCAAAGTACGCAGCCCACAGCGTGAAGAACATGCTGATGGCAAACAGCAGATATGTGCTCTCCTTGAAGGCCGCCATTTCCACAATGGGGCCCGACTTTCTCGGCGGCAGCCTCGGCCTGACCAGCAGATAGACAATGACGGACGAAACCAGCACGACGAGCCCCATGGCTCTCACGGCCCATGCGAAGCCAACCTTGGGCAGGAGCTGCTGTGCCATGAGGGGAAACACCATGCCGCCGGTGGCACCGCCACAGGCACTGATGGATATGGCGATGCTCTTCTTTTTGGAGAAGTAGGTCGAGACGTTGGCGACGGTGGGCGCAAAGACGATTCCGCACCCGAGGCCCTGGCATATCCCCTGCGCCAGAAACACCTGCCAGTACTCGCGGGCGACGCTGGTGGTGGCGATGCCAACGAGCTGAAGCAGGGTGCCGATGACGAGGGCGGCCTTGTAGTAGCCGGCGTCGAAGGCCCGGCCCGCAAAGGTGCCGACCAGGAAGACGAGGCAGATTTGCACGCTGCCTATCCAGGCGATGGCCGACGGGTCCATGGACAGCATCTCGGCGTAGTGAGGCTGGAAGATGCCAAAGCTAATCATGTAGCCCCATGTGTTGAAGACGATGAGGTGTCCCGCGAGCACCTGGCACCAGGCCCGGGGACCGCCATCCGGAGGCGAGGCCTGGTATGCTCTGTCGATGGTGGATATCCGGGCAATGAGGTCCTCGGGATGAACTGCCTCTTGTTTGGTGCGTGCTTCGAGTTGGGCCGGGGACGGTGTGCTTTCCACCCGGTGGTCGGATTTGGGAGACATGGTTTCTTCTTCTTCTTCTTCTTGCTGCAGGGCGAGGAACTCGTCCTTTTTTTGGTCCGAGTTTTATTTTTGGGTAGGCATCGATGCAACCACGGTTTGCGAGGAAAGTTGTTCCAGACCTGTTGATGAGCAGATTCGGAAGAAGTAGTCACAAGGGCAATTCTAACGAGAAATAAGTTCAAGAACAAAAAAGAAGCAACAGTCCCACGGCCCAAGACTTGCATTCTTGGTCACCGTGGGGGCGGCATCGCAGGGCGTGGATGAGAGCGGCTTCGGCCGCGAGTGACGGAGGTGGATGTCCGGTCGATTCCCGACGATGGGGACGATGGAGACGGCCATTTAGAAAATTTGGACTAAACCTTGCTGCTTTGCGACGTGCTAGTGGTTGGCTCTCCCTTCTCGATACAACAGTAGCATGATGGTATCCACAGAATTGGGGACGGGAAGAATCCCTCGGCAAGGCGTGAGAGTCATGGCCTGGGATGAGATTTGGCAAGTGACTCTGTAAGAACATTGAACTGTTCATGAAAAAAGACTTGACGTGGCTCTACTAATGTAAAAAAAAGGCACAGAACGTGGCTGATATGTCACCACACGATATTTACGTCTCTGGTGCATTCTGGCTGTCAATGCGCCCGAGGCATCGACTCGGAGCTCATGTGGGCACCCTGAGTAGCTCGTCGGCCGATTTATCAGCCATGGGCGTGAATTGATGCTTTATGCGCGTCTGATCATCTGTTCGCCAGGGAGCAGAGCAGGCCACTCTTCTCACCGTCTACACACAAGACGGTACGTAGTATTACGGAGTAGGCCCGTGCAATCGGATACATGTCGGGTTCCCGGCATCCAGCCCTTGACCTAGTTCGTACATGTAGTTTGTCCGCTCGTCGCCGTGGCCGGGTTGATCTTGGCGGACACGCATCCAAAGTTGACGGTTGACCTCTTCTCCCACCTTCACACCAGCCTCCCCGCCAATTCATCGAACCTCCTCGGCGGCGCGCCAGCCATTTGCTTCAGATCTTCAGCCGCCAAAGTCAATCAGAGGGCGCAATGTGGCTCCATAACGGCTGGCCGTGGCCCATGAAAAGCCACGCCTTTCTGCTTACAAACCGGCCGGGCTGGCTGCCGTCTTGATGCTAGTCTGCTTTGGTCGTATTTTGGCAAAGAATGCTCCTCGGGCGTTCATCTCACGGGAAACCTCCCCTCTCTGATCCATCCATCTCAAGTTGTCGTGTTGAACGCCGTGGACACCTGTTTTCAGACATTGGACTCACATCGGGGACCATCGCCTCCACGACACCATGGCCTACACGCTTTATATCGGCAACAAGCGATACTCGTCCTGGTCCATGCGGCCGTGGGTGCTCCTCAAGGCGCTCGACATCCCCTTTGACGAGAAGCTGCAGCTCTTCAAGCCGGGACAGCGCCAGCCCGACTTCCTCGAGTTCTCGCCCTCCGGCAAGGTCCCCTGTCTGTACGACGCCGAGCGCAAGCACGTCGCCGTCTGGGACTCGCTCGCCATCTGCGAGTACCTCGCCGAGAAGCACCCGGCCGCGTGGCCCCGCGACCCCGTGGCCCGGGCCTTTGCCCGGTCCGCCGCTTCCGAGATGCACTCGAGCTTCGCCGCCATTCGCGACGAGTGCTCCATGAACGTCGGCTTGCGCATCGAGCTCGGCGAGCCAAGCGACGGGCTGAGGCGCGATCTGGAGAGACTCACCGCCCTGTTCGGCGAGGGCATCCAGAGGTTTGGCGGTCCGTTCTTGGCCGGCAGCAGCTTCACGGTTGCCGACGCGTTTTATGCGCCCATTGCCTCGAGGGTCAAGACGTTTGGGATCCGGCTTGACGGCGCGGCGGGGGAGTACCTGGACCGGCTGTATGAGCATCCTGCTGTGCAGGCGTGGATTCAAGAGGGCATTGCCGAGGCGGAGAGGGAGCCGGGCCATGAAGAGGACTGTGTGAGGGGCCGTAGGATTTTGCAAGATTTGTGCAAATAAAGGTCAAGTTGGTCGACGGTCGCCATGGTAGTCAGATTGACGGCTTGGAGAACACGTTCAGCGGCCGCGGACAATTGTGATGATTTATCGTGTGACAATTTTGTCATATGGGGGAAAGGCGGAATACCCTGGTTATAGTCTCGTAGACTATACATGTCAACGGTATACCTACGTAGGTACCTACAAAAAGAGTACATGGTTCAATTTATGTAGACTATCATGTTTTTGTGGTTCGGTCTAGTCTTAATTTTCGAGTATGGCTTGCGTTTTTATTGTTTATCAGAATATGGAATGCTTTCTGGATCAAGGTGCTCCCAGGTGGTGCTCGCAGTGGTTTGGTGCACTCGGTCGTCGAGTGCTTTACCGACAATTTGCGGTAAACTGATAACACCCAGAAGCATCCTTTGTTGGTTCCGGCATTCCCGACTCCCATTCCTGAGCATTTGTACCATCTGGGCACGCTTGACCCTCCAAAACCTCCAGTTTATATTGGTGTTTGCGGCATTGCTTAACTTGAACTGTTGGTAAAACTGGAGTTGGTTCGACGGTGGGTTTCGGGGGCGCTGCGGGTGCGGGATCGTGGTCCTCGAGGCAGGAAGTGCTGCTGTTGTATTTTCCCCGAGCATCCCGATTATCGGCATCAGATATCGTCGCCTGGCTGGGCGAGTCAAACCCTTTGCAATAGACGCCCGTGCCGCACATCCTCTCCGGGAAGTAATTGAAGGAGCTCAATTTCTGACAACCCTCGTCAGGAAACGTACCCGTCGTCCATGGAAGCAGCTTAGTATAGGGTTCGTTGCTTTGGGGGTCGGTTCGCACAGACAGGCACGTAGCTGTGTCAGGATACTTGTCGCCATCGCCAAACTCGTACAGTCTTTCTTGGCAGTACAAGTTGGTCCCGCAGTAGCTCTCTCGATGCTCTTCGGCGCTGCCTTCGGTGTTGCGTCGACATCTCTGCTTGGCCAGGTCGATATTCCAAGGATCAGGGAAGAATGGTAGCTTATGCGTCTGCCTCACAGGTTTACTAGGTATCCATAAAAGCCAAGGCCGAGGCTGGGTGTCGTTCTCGAAGCTGCGGTACTTGTTCCATAGGCCATGCGGTGATTCCCGGACTACTTATATATCTACTATAAGAATGTGTATACACTAAGGTGAATCACTAGTATACGAAGAACCCATGTGGTGCTGCGGGATCAGGATGCCGGGTCCATGACGAAAAAATAGTCTCCAGGCGGTAGACTTTGCTAGTAAATAACTCAGATAACAAGAAACAGTTCGTCTACTATGCAGCAATAGATAGTGCTTTAATTTAATAGCGATAATAACAAGGGTACCTTGCTAATATAGTTACTTTGCCCATAGACAGCTTATAGCAATGGGGTGACGGAGTGAGTCATGTAGACAGGGATGAGTAAACTTCTTTGGCTCGTCATCACCTGAGCTTTCTAAATGGCATAAACGCTCGGGCGGTAGCTGTAGTCTGGAAATTAAACGGTAACGAAAAAGGAAATTAATACACAGGCATAACACTTTTACGTAGCTACATATCATCTGAGGTTTTCACAGACACCTCATCCGAGGGGTCCATCGACTTCTTTCTCATGCCGCAATATTTTCAGTGAGCCCCATAGCAGCCCTAGTTTCGGCCAGAAATGGCCCGACACTTCTTAGTTAGTCCTCCCCTGGTCACACGTCACTGCCGTTTGCAGCACCCTAGCGCTGGTCAGGCCGAGTCTCTTTCAGGGTCCAACTCGTGACAATTTCATTGGCCCTGTAAAGAGCAACCGAGTGTTTCTTGCCCTTTTCACGCCAAAGAAAGTCGTCTGTCACTTATGCCAATTCCATTCGCTTCGGACATTATCGATGGGAACGAACATCGCGCCATCTAAATGCATAGGCCGCTGTAGCTTACGAGTTCAATGGTCGTGTTGCGTCAGTCACCAACAAGCTGCACAAACGGTCCACTAAACTTCGCTCATACCTAATAGGCCGAATGCTAGTTAATCTCAGAAAAATTCATTTTCATGCAATTCTTCCCATAGGCCGCGCGGCTTCTCGCGGCCTCCTTTGACTAATTCATAGACTGTCCCAGCCGCCTTCTGGCAGCTATGCAGCGTGTAACTATACGCAAGTTGCTCCCACAATCCGGGGGATCAGTCTCTATTGCGGGACTGGAAACTATGCTTGCAAGGCGGTTCCTGCAAGAGAGACCAGACTCTTCCCTGTCAATCGACGGGATCCATGGTTGCCATTCTCTTACAGCTATTCTATCTGTTCTGTGTCTTTGAACTTGTCAGGACTTTCCTGGCCCTCCTCAGCTTCTGTATAACCCAAATCACTCATCTACGCTGTATATTCGAGTACGGTGGACGGAATTATAGCTGTCTAAGCTGAGTATATTGACTGAATTTGACAACTAGCTAGGCGACTACTACGAGTATCTAATCGCTAAAGAGAGAGAAAACAGAGCGAGGAAAGGAGTCGCTCCTGAGCTCGACACGTGGTTAATCTCGCTTATAGATGGGTCCCCGCCGGGGGCCGGAGCCGAAGGCGAGAGTGCAAGCCGAGCCATATCGGGCTCGGCCCGTTACACGAGTAATGCATGGCCTTGATTAATGCTTGATGGCCCGAGGGACTCGCATAGCCGCGTAACCTGGCCTCGACATATAAGGTAGAGAGGCTCGGCAACCCCTGGCGATATGATGAATTTGACAGAACCTGACACGTATCTCCAGGGGTATAAGCCAATCGGATAAAAGCGGATAAACGGTACTTTTACTTCCATATAATATAGGTAATACTTGGTGTACTAATAACCCTGTCAGGTACAAGCAGCTACATTATACTAGTCACACTTTCATACTATTTACTTAGTACTATCTTTATTCTACCACAATCCGTGGGGCAGTGGGGCCCCCACAAGGTAGATAGAGTAAATTCGCAATGCGTGCCCGTACTTACGGGTCTTATATTCCTTGGCGTGATGGCGTGACTTGCCTTACACCTATGCATTGTTGTCACGTTATGAGACTCATATTAACTAAGCTTGTTCATAAAATCATTATTCATGTTCTTGTAAGTGCTGTAAACTCCGTTTACAGCTCTCTTTTTAATACTAAAAAACTTCTTTTTATCCGAATTTAACTTTTAGGTAAGTTTAGTTATAATAGCCGACGCTATAACAACCAGTTATTACACCAAGCTCTGCCACTTCAGTCTACAAAGGCATTATCCGACAGCTCTGCATCCACTGGTCGAATTGACTAGGCTTGGTCTGCCGCATCGCTCTTCCAATTATGGTTTTCACTTAATCAGATGGCTTATTAGCTAGATAATATAGTTTAAAGTATTCCCGAACGCTCTTCTTAGCGTCTTACAGCCACACCAGTTACTCACAGCTGGTCTAGTTCGCCTTAAGCCAAGACACGTTCCAGCGCAGGTGAAGAATAACAGCGGCTGGGTAAAGCAGGGATTAGCCAAGTAGAGTGTAATACTCATCAAGTTTTGACTAATAGTTATCGTCGGTGGTCATCATCAATACTATCAGCTTACGAGAATGTGCTAGTATATTCGCCTTGAGTGTGCTGGGGCAAGTGTTTCTCGCGTTCGTGGCATTGGTCAGCTTGTAGCCCGCTATATCCTGTAATATTATTAGCCAAATAGACTTAAGGCGAGCAAAGACGAACTAGAAAGCCATACTCTTGGCTGCCGAGGATCGTGCATGCCGTGGCACATCAGTAGTTGGGTCAGGCAGCGAGAAGATCTGCTTCTGCTCCTCGAAGTTAAGCAAATATTGCATTCCGATCATCACTTCCCACAAGGCACTGTAACGGCCCTCTTTGGCCCAACCCTGGCACCTTATAGTGACCTTATAGAGTGGTTTAAGAAGACTCTGTATCTCCGTCAAGAGAAGCCAGTCCTGTGGCGACAGATGATCTTGGACAGGCACACGTTGGCGAGGCTCCCCCGCCTTGGTTTCGAGATACGTGATGAAATGGTCAATCTGCTCTCGTTTGCGAATGGCACGCTGGATCATCAGATAAGTCAAATTCCATCTGGTTTTATTGTTCTGTATTAGCTTGAGGTTAATGGCAGCTTGCTCCTCATCAAAGAGCTGGTAGTCGTCGTCGTTGCGTTGGTTACATGCCAGAGACTTCATCAACTCTCGCCGTTGCGGAAACTTCGTACCGTGATACTTGACGGTCAGGTCATCCCGTAGCTGTGGCCTTATCACCAACTTGACCTCGGTACCATCTAAGCTACCTGTCACGAGACTTCTTCCACCACCCATAAAGGACACGGCATAGATGGAATCCGTGTGGGCACTTGATACATATTCTGTAGCCAGATGCTCTCCACGTGGAATACTCCACAGGTGTATGCATTTATCGTACGGGCCAGCGGCTACCTATTGTCCGTTCCAAGACACCGCCACTGATGTGATGCCTTGATTATTGAGAAACGTGTTTTGTATTGTGCCATTATGGATATTCCAGATGCGGACAGTGGCATCGCTACTGCCAGACACGAGGAGCTGACTGTCTGGCGTGAAAGCCAGAGAGTAGACCTGGTCTGTGTGATGAGCAAAGAGCGATATAGCCCACGCGTTTGCAAGTCCCAGTCCTTGAATCATATTGTGAGATGCAGTGCTTGAAGGGGAAGCTGTTGCAAGTATAAGTGTTGGCTAGGTGCAGATACACATATTCGGGTAGTCTTGTCTTGGTAAACAGCTACCAAATACTGGCCATGAGGGCTAAAGCAGATGCTGCGAATATAAACGCTGTCACTGATACCATTTTGGCCAAGGGGTGCACGAATGAGCAGACTTTGGTTCCGAGTACATGTCAAACACTTGAGCAGTTTGACCACATCCGGTTGCCACTCTCGCGCCATCGGGACTAAGTGAAATGCAGCAGACAAAACTCGCATGTGGTATTATGCATACCATTTCCACGTCTATGACACAACGTACATCAAGATTGACATGTTGGTCGTATCATCATCATGGTCCACGGGTGGATTGGTAGTGCGGAGATGGATGTCTTGTAGCTGTTGTTGGAGCTTGTGACGCTCCCGCTTATATCTAGGGCAACGGGGAGCAGAGGCATGAGTGTCAACTTGCTTTCATTGGTAATAGCTAGTTTGTGTATTGGAGGTAGCGGGTAATCTCTCATATTAACTTGATTGATTGGTGGGCATTTAAGAATAGTCGACGGCAGGGATCCTGACAAGCCCCCACATTGCCCCGCTCTTCGCAAACTCACCTTACCCACGAGGGCCCTGATTGTCTATGACTTCAACATGATGGGTAGTCTAGCTTGCCCCCGTTGAAAAGACTTGCGTCGAAAACCTTGGTACAGGGTAGAATACTGGTCCATTTTTTAATCCATGTCGCTTCCCGCAAGCCGTCCAGCTAAACACGTGGTCCGTAGCGTATCTCAGAAATGGCTGCCACAGAATATTCAGCATGACCACAGCAGAGTCAGAAGCAAGGCAATTGACGCCGTGGATAGAAGTAAATGAGTATTATAAGATAACTATTAGCGAAATATGAGTGGAATCTATACTAGGACGACAAATAATAGACATTTTTGTTGACCCTAGCATGCTGTCCCGCCTGCCATGTCCACTGCGGATCTTACTCAAGTATATATACTTATCTACAAGTATGGTGAAGTGCCAGTCATAAGCGTAAAGAGTAAGGCTAGACGTCGCTGGCCGCCTATTCTATAGTACAGCCATTTCTTGTTTCCAAGACGGGAAATAAAAGCTCCTCCTGCCTCCGTTTCCACACTAGCGTTGTTGATGACGCTCAGAACGCTTTTAACAGCAGACTCGGATTTGGCTTGATGAACCAGGCGTTTGAAAGTATGGCTTGGCCACGGCACGGTGCTTAATGCGTCTGAACCCTCGTTACTCCGTACTGTGCGACAAATGTTTACACCCAGTCACCCACACCCTACCTGAGCCGCGGCTATTTCGTGGCGTCAAGTACTAGTGCTGACGGTTTGTATAAAAGCCGGGGCCTTTCGACAGATGTCTTATGTTGCAAGTGCACGGCTTGCCACAGCCCTTTGATGCCATCCATGCCGATCCCCGGAGCACGCTGCGGCTGGCTCTTACGCCGCCGCCCTTGCATCACAGCAAGAGGAGCTGCGTGGTCGCCATCAGGTCAACAGCCGTCTCAACCCATGTCAAACACCTCACACTCGGCCGTCCATGGCGGCATGACGGGGCGATGCCAGTGCGGCGAGGTCAAGTTTACCACGCCAACACCGTCTCCCCTTGGACTGTACGTCTGCCACTGCACCGAATGTCGGCACCAGAGCTCCTCTGCATTTGGCATCACGGCGCTCTTCCCCTTCTTTGAAATCCCGGGCCATGACGCCGCCCGTTCATCTGCTCCCGTTGGCACTTTTACGAGGTATACTGCACGCGGTCGCTACATGGAGTGCCTCTTCTGCCGTACGTGCGGGTGTCGACTTGTACACAGGTTTCGGGACCAGATTCCGGGGCATAGAGAATACATACACCGGCAAGGCGTTATCCCCACTGTGAGTGTTAAAGCCGGGTGCTTGGACGGATTGACGAGAGAGGCGCTCAATGAAGCGGTGCATATATGGTGTCAGTCTGCAATTGTGCCCATCCCTAAAGGGGTTGTGAGCTGGCCTGGGAGGCCCGAGGGAGGTACGACGATTCGGCGTTGAGCAAAATGCCAGGGGTATTGTAGTATGACGGGGTGTTGAATGCTATATCAGTGTGGTTCAAACGACTGCTATATTTATTCCTTATTCTGACATTTATTCTACCTTGTTGGCAGCATCCCGCTGTTGCCAGATGGTCTCGGCAACACACGTATGGCAAGTCCAGTGCCAACGAGGAAACATATTTGAACTCATTCTGGACGAGATGCCCATAGTGCCCCAGTCAATCAGAATGACGTGTGAGTTCGCATGAGAATAGGTCCAAGTCCACGAGCACCAAGCGGAACCGGGGCCGGGAATCGACGCCTGTCTGTTTGACGAGCCACAAGAAAAGGCGCCGTCTCGCCGCTTTGCGCAGTTGCACATGAAAAAGGGCAATAATTCGGGGGCTGTGATGAATCTGACGTGGCCAAAGTGAGGGGACGATTTGACGATGACATCAGCACCAAGTCTTGGGACCCATTAAATATAAGTGTCGGCTCCTCCTGCTATCTCCCGAACTTGAGCAGCTTCTCTACTCATTTGTATCAATATTCCCTCAAGTGGCGCATTTCGACCAGGCAACACGGCGCACATCAAAATACCGCTGCAGGGTTGGGCATATAAAATACCCAGCCAGTATGACTTCTATCAACGGCGAATGCGACGCCAAGTTCGCCAAAGTCAGGCAGCTTCTGCAGCAGCAGCTGGCTTCCGGAGACGAGCTAGGCGCATCAATCTGCGTCAACATCAACGGCAAAAACGTCGTCGACATCTGGGGAGGACACGTCAACGCCGACCGCACACGAGCCTGGACAAAAGACACACTGTGCGCCGTTTGGTCAACGACAAAGTGTGTGACGAACCTCGCTGCGCTGATATTAATTGATCGCGGCCTTTTAGATGCAGACGAAAAAGTCGCCAAGTACTGGCCGGAATTCGCGGCCAATGGAAAGGAAAACGTCGAGGTCCGACACCTCCTGAGCCACACGTCGGGGCTGGCGGCTTGGGAGAGCCCAATCACAACCGAGGCTATTTACGACGTGCCAAACGCTGCGGCAAAGCTGGCCGGGCAGTCGCCTTGGTGGACGCCCGGCACGGCTTCTGGATATCATCTCGTGAGCCAGGGCCACCTTGTGGGAGAGCTCGTGAAAAGGGTCAGTGGCAAGTCGCTCGAGGAATTTGTCCGGACGGAGATTGCGGAGCCTCTCGGCGCCGACTTTCACATAGGTGCCCAAGAGGAGGATTGGGAGCGAATCTGTGACATGATTCCGCCGCCGCCGCCGTCCACACCCCCGGGGAATGTTGACGTGGATAGTGTCCAGATGAAGGCGTTCATGGGTACTCCCTTCAAGGGAGAATACGCAGGAACTCCCGAGTTTCGCAAGGCGGAATTGGGTGGCATGGGAGGTTTTGCCAATGCGCGGTCTATCGCGGCCATTCTCTCCGTCATCAGCCTTGGTGGCTCTGTGGGCGGGAAACGACTTCTCTCGGACAGGACAATAGATTTGATCTTCGAGGAGCAGGCTAGTGGCAAGGATTTGGTGCTCCTTGTTCCGATTACGTGGGGAACTGGATTCGCTCTCCCCAATGGATCCGTGCCAAGTGGATGGTTTCCAAAGGGCCGAATTTGCTACTGGGTTGGATGGGGTGGTTCCGCTGGTGTCATGGACTTGGATAGGAAGATGACTGTAGGCTATGCTCTTAATAAGATGGGCGAAGGGGTGGTTGGGACTGCGCGGACCGAGGCATACGTCCGTGCCATATATTCAGCACTGTCTGAAGCTGGGAGTTCCAACTAGACAATATACTGCCTCTCGAGACGGTTAAGATGATACGCCTGAGCTTCATAGACTGTTGTAAAAATGCCATGGGCTAACAAGAAGTACGGATAACGCCATGTATCATCTTTTTTATCAAGCGCCTTGTCAGCTCAATCTTGATCTAACACAGGCTAAGCATTACCAACCGTGCCCCAATAACGGAACGAATAGACACAATACAAAATAACACTAATCAACTTACCTTCAGTATACGGCGGTGCTAAGTGATGGGTAACCTGCAGAAACAAATATATAGGTATGGCCCGTGAGGGGACCATGGATATACGACGGCCGAATATGGCAAGGCTTACAGCTGGTAATAACTGCTACTTCGGAATAACCTTGCCAAAGAGGGTGTACAACGGGACTTTCTGAGGGCATCAAAAGGTAACTGTGGTCCTTTGGATTCATGTTTACTCACATTGCTACAGGGCCAATTGCAGCAACTATCGGTTCCCACTGGAAAAGATGCACAAGGTGAGATGAAGTAAGTGATTTTGATCCCATTCCTTACGTTTAACCCGCCACCGGGACTGACTGTGCCAGGCCATAGAGGGAGCCTGGTAGTGAGGTTGAACTTCCCTTATTGGCAGAGCAGATCCAGACATTGGATGTCGCGACTTCCCATAATCTCAGTGTTGTGACCTGTCCATGTAAATAAACTGGACATGGCGTGGGGGGCTTTTTTTATTTTTTCTTTATCTTGCTATTAAGTATTAAATTATTATAAAAAAAAT